AGCATTTCGTAATCTTTCTATCGCTGGTTACCATGGACACTTGCAAAGATCATCATTATGAATAGCAAAGATGAAAAGACAAGGTTTTCCCTCTTTCTCCCCAGTTACAAATACTTTTGGGAAGAAAAGATTGTTTCTCGACGAAAACTGATGCAATCTTTAGACACAAGCAGAATGCGACCATCAGTCAGCCTATTCAACAAGAGAACAAACCAGAATCAATTACTCATTTAAAGAGAGTCAGCCAGACCACAATCTTGATAGTGAAACAGTGAAATAGTCAATAATCAATATAGAAATAAAAAGAGAGCTTATAATAAAATGAAGGTATAATTTTGGTATAATGTAGGTATTAATTTACAACACTGTGTAAGCAATAGATGCATAGATTAAATAAACTGAAAAAAAGCCTACACTGTAAAAAAAAAAAATCTGGCATTTACGGTAAAATACCGGCAGCTGTGGTTGTCAGAACTTCACCGTAAAAAAAATGGTAGCAACATTTTAGGTTTTACAAACTTAACTTAAATTCACAATAAAATACCGTATTTCATTAACTGATGTAATAATGTTAATAAACCAACATATTGAAATACTAATATCTGTTTTGAACCATTGTAATGCACTGATAACCACCAAAAATTGGTGGTGATGAGAAAGTCACATGATGAACCAAAGCTCATCACAAACAGCTTTTCTACGAGCTGAGGAGAGCAATACTTTTATATAGAAGGTGCACACAGTCTCATTCACACAAACACTAAACCCCATCATGGTGACACACATGATACTGAAATAATGCAATAAACATTCATTTAACTAAGTTAAAAAACTAAAAAGAACGTTATTTCAATGAGAAAACATCAAATATGAAGTGTAATGCAGGGAATTCTGGGAGTGTCAATTTACGGTTTGTCACTGTAAATTATACAATGACTTTTTCTTTGTCACGTCCAAAAACCGTATTTTACTGTAAAATTACATTAAATGTAATTACATTTATTCACAGAATATAGTAAACTTACTGTTAACCAGTTAACAGGTTTTTACTGTAGCATGTTTACAGTCTTTTACTGTTAAAATCACAATAATTTTTTTACTTATTTTTGTTTGAACACATAATTAGAGACTCAATACTTGAATTCTGGTTACTTTTCTTCTTTCTTGCTCCACAGAAGAAAGTCCAAATGCAGAGAGAACAGAACAAAATAAATTTTCCCATAGTTTTAAATATATAACGTCTCATTCTGGCAAAGTTCTTCTCGTCTGTCACTGAGAACTGCCTGTCTGTGAAAACATTAGAGAGGTGTGGGGCAGCATCTACAGGCAATGTAGAGAACTACTGATATCAAAACTTGCACTTTGTCACTGTATTGCAGCATTTGGACGACTGATCTGAGAAAGAACATGCTGTACAATTTACAACGCCTCTTCAGTTTTGACACACATGCTGAGATTTAGAATATGACAAACAAGGAAAATACAAAAACAAATTGTAGATATACAGATTGTTCTTATATACAGATATATGCAAATAAGAATGTGTGAAAATAGGTCTTCATGGGTACAGCAATATGAGAGATTAAAATAAAATATTACAATAGTGAATTTTCCTATTGGACGTATGGTTTTGTTCCATTAGGTCTGGCGCTTATTAATTTCACTTTTAGTGTGAACGGGCCTTTAGCTTTACAGCTGCCTAAAATATAACTTTTGAGTTTTTTGTTATTAAAAAACAATAGCAAGCCCAGCCCAGGTGACAAAAAGTAATACAAAAGTAATGTAACTCATTACTTTCCATTACTTTCCATTACTCATTACTTTCCATAAAAAGTAGCTCAATTAGTTACTTTTTTATTTAGTAATGCAATATTGTAATGCATTACTTTTAAAATGAACTTTCCCCAACACTACTGTCAAGAGACTTGTTGTGAGGGAGACGGTCCGAAAAAAAAAAGTTTAGTTACATACTCAAAAAATTCGATCAATATTAATTTATGCTCTATCAACGCAAATCTAAAGTCTCAGGAAAAACTGGAGCTTACCAGACAATTAATGAGACATGACACTTTCAGCGCCACACATCCCACTTTTAAAAACAGAAGTACATGGACAAATTGTATAATATGCACACATTTATTGGGACACACCTCTTAAATATTCAGGAGAATTTAGGTGTTTTAATCAGACACAATGCCAGTGGTGTATAAAATCATGCACGTCTACATTTACAAGCATTTGTGGAAAAAAATGGGTTGTTCTGAAGAGCTCAGTGAATTCAAACATAATAAATACTGTGATAGGATGTCACCTTTGCAATAAGTCAGTTTGTGGAATTTCTCATCTCTGCTATATTCAACAGTATTCATCAGGAAGATCACGCCATTTCTTTCGGAACATGCAACACAACTCCTTGTGCAAGCTCTTGTTCTGTCCAGGCTGGACTATTGCAATGCTCTCTTGGCAGGCCTTCCAGCCACTTCTATCAAACCTCTACAATTAATCCAGAACGCGGCAGCAAGATTATTTTTTAACGAGCCAAAAAGATCACACGTCACACCTCTGTTCATCAATTTGCACTGGCTACCAATAGCTGCTCGCATTAAATTCAAGGCATTAATGTTTGCCTACAAAACCACCACTGGCTCTGCACCCCTTTACCTAAATTCATTACTTCAGATTTATGTGCCCTCTAGAAGCTTGCATTCTGCAAGTGATTGACGCATTATTGTGCTATCCCAAAGAGGCACAAAATCACTTTCACAGACTTTTTCATTAACTGTTCCCTCCTGGTAGAATGACCTGCCCAAATCAATCCGAGCAGTTGAGTCCTTATCCATCTTCAAGAAACTACGGCTAAAAACACATCTTCTCCATCTTTATTTGACCCTCTAACTCTAGCACACTCTATTCTAATTCTATTTTATCTTTGTTGACGTGACCCTCTAACACATGAACTCTCTTCGTTTTCTAACGGCTAGTTTTCTTTAAAAAAGGCCTCTAACACTATAGCTTTCTATCTTCTTTTTCTATTCTATCTACACACTTAAAAACAAAGTTTCCAAAAGGGTTTTTTTACAGCGATGCCATAGAAGAACCAATTTTGGTTCCCCAAAGAACCTTTCAGTGAACAATTTTTAGAAGAACCATTTTTTCTTAGTGTGAAAAACATTTTAATAATCTAAAGAACCTTTTTTCACAGTAAAGAACCTTTCGTGGAATGAGAAGGTTCCATGGATGGTAAAGGTTCTTTGTGGAACCATTGATGCCAATAAATAACCTTTGTTTTTAAGAGTGTACTTGTTATATGTATATGTGTGTGTATATATATATATATATATATATAACAACCTTGCTACGTGTGTGTTAGGCGATACTTGTCATAGCACTTGCACATTTTTGCTCTTTTGTTTACTTTTGATTGCTTCTATTGTCATCATTTGTAAGTCACTTTGGATAAAAGCGTCTGCTAAATGACTAAATGTAACTGTAAGTGATATTATATGAAATTGGAAGCGTTTAGGAACAGCAGAAATTCTGCCACAATGATGAATAAATGCACCTCTTAACAGTCAATACTTAGTCAGCTTTTGTTGGTCCAGCACATCCCATAAATGCTCAATCAGATTGAGATCTGGGAAATTTGGAGGCCATGGTCCAGTTCAGATGCTAGCATGCCCCTTGTAGGCACTTTCGGCGGTAGACAGGGGTCATCATGGGCTCTCGGACTGATCTGCAGCTGCAGAGCCCCGTATGAAGCAAACTGCGACACACTGCATTTTCTGACATCTTTCTATGACGGCCAGCATTAAGCTCTTCAGCAGTTTGAGCTACAGTAGCTCTTCTGTGTGATCAGACAAGGCAGGCTAACCTTCGCTCCTCATGTGCATCAATGATCCGTGACCCTGACATCAGTTCACCGGTTGTCTTTTCTTGCACCACTTTTAGTAAGCACTAATCATTGCATACCAGGGACACACCACAAGACTTGTTTTAGAAATGCTCCGACCCAGTCATCTAGCCATTGCTATTTAATATAGGGTGACCATAAGTGCCATTTTCCCAGGACGCGACCTAGATATTTTAGGCAATATAGAAATCCTGGCAAGGACGCGTTCTGGGAAAATGGCACGTATGGTCACCCTAATTTAATATATGTGACACCCATGGACCACAAAACCAGTCATAAGTAGCATGCATATATTTGTACCCCACGTACGTCTGCAAAGATCACTTGATCTGGAAAGCATCTGCTGTGTACAAACATCTGACAGATGTCTGTAAGATGTCAGTTTTACATACATTCTAGCTCTTAAAGATATCTACTGTAATAGACGTCTCTTTGACATCTAATAGGAAACGTCTGATAGACGTATTGCAGATGAGCAAACGCTCTAAAACATATGTCTTGCAGATGTAAATGCAGACGTCAAATAGATGTCTCCGTGGCCTATCAGCCAACAATACGTTGTATGGGTCAAAATGATCGATTTTTCTTTTATGCCAAAAATCATTAGGATATTAAGTAAAGATCATGTTCCATGAAGATATTTTAAAGATATTCCTACCGTGCATATATCAAAACATCTGATTAGTAATATGCATTGCTAAGGACTTCATTTGGACAACTTTAAAGGCGATTTTCTCAGGGTTTTTTTTTTTTTTTTGCACCCTCAGATTCCAGATTTTCACATAGTTGTAATCTCAGCCAAGTATCGTCCTATCCTAACAAACCATGCATCAATGAAAGTCTTATTTATTCAGCTTTCAGATGAAGTATAAATTCAAAACAATTGACCCTTATGACTGGTTTTGTGTTCCAGGGTCACATATATTCATATTGTATTTTAATTATAATATAGCTTAAGTGTACATGTATCTCTAAAATGTACAAATATGAATTTACATTATGCACAAGTAGAGATTTTGCAGTCAGTGGATGCCGGTTCACGCCATGCATGATACCCCTACAGCGGACCGTTTAAGAGGAACCAAGCGCAGACGAGCTTGTTTCCGGCCGGAGGTGTGAGTGTCGCACCCCATAAGCAGCGAGGACCGACACACGCCATTGTATGAATTTGTGCATTCGCGTCTTTTTCGTTTAGTTTTATTAAGGTTTTATGTGCAGTTAGATTTAACAGTCCCTTGTTACATCATCGACTCCCGTTTTTAAGGACAAAATTTTATTTACAATTAAGGACATGGCATCAGATTCGTGGGCCCAGGCTGTCGATGAACAAGAAGCCGCAGCGGAATCGGTGGGCTTAGACCTCAAACAGGACAATTTTAGAAAGCTGAATAATTGAATCAAACATTTTACGAACCACAGTAACTCACTTAGTCATTTAACAGTCTTACTAGGTCTGTGACCATACAATTTAAAGTTGTTGTTGCAGTAACGCTAACTTACATCTCTTGCTAAGTGTAATTTAAATAATGCAGTAGCTATAATATTAGTGTAGTATTAGAGTTGCTGTACTGATATTTTAGTGATTGTTTTTTTTGTAAAGTCGTATTTCATATATTACTCGTTGTATTTCGTGTGTGTGTGTGTGTGTGTGTGTGTGTGTGTATATATATATATTGAGTCGTTTTCTTTGTATTCGTAACATACTTGGCAATAAAGCTCTTTCTGACTTCTCACAGTCCTGATTTTCACTTTCATTTACAGATAGGCAACTTGCAAATAAATGAAAAAGATGACAAACCGAAAGCTGTAGCGAATGGTGAGAATTAAAACGTTTTAAGTTCGATTTGTGTGTGTGTGTGTGTGTGTGTTGCTGTTGTGGAGTCTTATAATGAATGATGTTGGTATTGTTTTTTTTCTTTTTATTTTTATTAATAAGGGGCAAAGACAGAAGGAGATGGAGAGAAGACGGAGGACGATGATAAAGGTGACGTTTACGGCAGAATCATCACCGTTTCCTTCAGTCTGAGTATGTGTATATTCTCCACATGAGAGGTAACTAAAACTGATCTGAATTGCAGATGACAAGGCAGCACAGTCACTACTGAATAAACTGATCCGCAGTAATCTAGTGAACACGACCAATCAAGTTGAAGTCCTTCAGAGGGATCCGACCTCTCCGCTGTACTCCGTCAAGTCGTTTGAAGAGCTACGATTGTGAGTTTGACAGTGTTTTCCCACTCCTGATTGTATTCCTGCTTTAACAGGGGCCAGACTGGCATGAAATTGTCCTGTGGTTTATTTTTTTCTTGCCAGGAAACCTCAGCTACTGCAAGGAGTGTATGCCATGGGTTTCAACAGGCCCTCCAAAATCCAGGAGACCGCATTGCCCATGATGCTCGCAGAACCGTAAGTTTATATAACCTTTTTTTCCCCCCATTTAAATCTAACTTAATGCAGTGCCAACAGAATTTCTATTTTTTTTTATTTTTTTTTTTTAAATTAGATTACTAGATTAAGATTACTAGAAACTAGATTAAAATGGCTGATTTCGTAGCAGTGATTTCCAGAATTTTGTGGGGAGTTTGCAATATTGTTTTTATAATTAAGAGAGCACATTATGTATAACACACACATTTTTGCGTTTGTCACAATGTTTCTCATCAAATTCTGAAACAACTTTTAAACCATTTTTTTTGTTGTTGCTATTAAAATAGAAAAACTGAAATAGTGCTGAAATAAAAGATGCAAGTTTTAAACAAATCTACTACAGAAACTGAATCAAATGCAAAATAACATGCAACACAGTCTTTATGAATTAATATACAGATCTTAATTAAAGCTAATAAAGTTAGTCAGGAGCAATGTTTTTTTGTTTTGTTTTTTAATAAAAATTAACAAGAAATAGGTATACAGGTGCATCTCAATAAATTAGAATGTCATGGAAAAGTTAATTTATTTCAGTAATTCAACTCAAATTGTGAAACTTGTGTATTAAATAAATTCAATGCACACAGACTGAAGTAGTTTAAGTCTTTGGTTCTTTTAATTGTGATGATTTTGGCTCACATTTAACAAAAACCCACCAATTCACTATCTCAACAAATTAGAATACTTCATAAGACCAATAAAAAAAACATTTTTAGTGAATTGTTGGCCTTCTGGAAAGTATGTTCATTTACTGTACATGTACTCAATACTTGGTAGGGGCTCCTTTTGCTTTAATTACTGCCTCAATTCGGCGTGGCATGGAGGTGATCAGTTTGTGGCACTGCTGAGGTGGTATGGAAGCCAGGTTTCTTTGACAGTGGCCTTCAGCTCATCTGCATTTTTTGGTCTCTTGTTT